TTTTTGTGGTGAGGTTAGTAGTTCAAGGTGGTATAGAATGTACGTTGTAATTTACGTATGTCTCTATCCATTGAGGTAGCAGTTGTTACCACTAGTCACAATTTTGTCCTCTAGACAGTAATTGTAGCGTCTCTTCAGTCATAAGTATATATCTGGTAAGCTGTAGTAATGCTTTAGGGAGTTAGCACTCAGACCTAGTGTTCTTACTGTTAAGGGACGAAGTTCGTCAATCAGATCTTGGGTATGAGAATTTGCACCGTGTCAATTACTGGTTACAAAAAGTACTTCTTGCAGTAGACTCTCAAAATGCAAGCCAAAAAAACAGCCCACGTTTGTGCTCTAGATATAACGGAATATTTTAATTATTATGAAAATTACAGTAGGTCACCACTAACACCTATTGTAGGCCATGTCTTATAAAGTCTCAACTTATCAGGATTAAGAGAAAGGTCTTTCGATTAAATTAATGGATGGAATTACTTGGGATATTTGTCAAATACCTTGCAGTTACTTAGCAATTCTACCCTTTTTTACCGACGATATGTTGAATTAATAAGATTAAGGATATTTTTTCGTACAATTCGCTATTATATACGAGAGATCTTCAAATATGACTTACACAAAAAACTAAGCATAAATGGTCTTGGCTAAAGCTTAATTTTTGATTTTTTCAAATCTATGCTTACTGACATTATATATTAGTTATGGCCAACATAGGAATGTGGGCTGTGGTTGTTTTCGGTTGCGCCATCTTAACTTGGTTTGATTTCTGGGGATTAAAAGGCAGCAGCAATTCAGAGAAAACCATACCAATTCTAAAAAAGCCAATAAATCCACTTCCTACACTTCAGTTCATGTTTTGGTAAGTCTGATAATTTTGATCTTAATCCTCTTAGCGTTTCCTGAGGATATCGGCGGGTGTTCGAGGAGATGTCACGGATCGTCTTACAAAAGTATCCGTCTTTTATTATAGAAGGCGACACGTATCCTCCACCCGCCTGGCGAGCCCACTTGGCAAAATCCTTACAATTCCTGAAATATTCTATTATTCTTATGACTGTGCTTGGTTTCGACCTCTTTGGATATCTTGGTTACCCTACTCCTAACTTTGTCTCATATGCCATGCAAAATAAAGTGAGTTAAATATAGTTTAAGCCCATGTTTTTTGTATGTGGCATATTTGGCTGATTTAACTCTCTTACAGTCTTAAAGTTTTATGAGGGTAACAACTATTGCGCTCTTTGTGCTTTGCAAATAAATTGAACTCTAAATAAATCACTGAAACCCGTTGTACTTATATTTTAGGATCCATTGGTGTGTTTTTAATGACACGAGATTACGTTCAGTATGTGACTTCTGTTATAACTCCGAATGGATTCTACACTACGAGCTGCGTATGTCTTGTTTGTACCGTAGTTTGAAAAGTTATTCTTATTCATGTGTTTGTAATGCATTCAACTTGTATCGCTAGTGATATACACTTCTTAATAATTAACAGCATAATAAGAGCTCTAGTTTATCATGCTTTTACAGAAAACTCAATCATTAAATTTCATTTATCTTTTTAACTTGTGTACTTACTAGTACCATCGGTCAAGTCAATAACTTTGTATATATAGTTCCAAAAGTGAAATCGATAGATATGATTTTGAATAAATGTCTACACTCAACATCTGTCCATGGTTATATTTTAGTTTCATGTATTGTCAATCTAATTTTCAATCGTCTAATGTACCAGCGAATTGTTTGTATTTATTAAGTTGTGAAAACCTTCATATGAAATAAAAATACTTATTAATATGATTTATGTACTAAAATATATCTGTTATTGTTTGGTTTCGTAAAAAATCCAAATCAACATCAATTTATTTGTCTTCAGGTTTCTTTCTGTTTGATGACCTTTCTACTTGGAAATGTTATTGAAGGACAGTTGCTATCTACGGGCGCTTTCGAAATATACCTAGATGGTGAGTATCAGACTACTTTTGCAAGTCAATTGCACATGTTCGACACCACCTACTGGCTTTAAAAAAAATAAATTTAGGAAACTAGGTCTTGCGTAACAATATTTACTATGTCGAAATGAAAAAATTACATTCGGGAAAAATTAGTAATTTATGAGTAATATGTATTTCATTGGATTCAATAGTAAAGGAGTAACTTGAATGCAAACAAAGTCCTCAAAAAGAGTAATTTCTGAGAATGTACATAAGAGATTATGAGACAGAACCAATACGTTATTTACCGATATCCTTTCTTGTTTTAGAAAGTTTTTCTAAACTCTGACACGAGTAGTTTTCATTGCTTTACTTGTGAAGCAGTAGGGATATAAGTATTTGACCTAATAACTACACACAAGTATATACATTCGGATACAATCTACAAATATTACCTGACGGCTGAACCAAATGTTAGTGGTTTAAGTTCCAAGCTTAATAAACGATCTTATTAGTTCTTTCACCTCACTCCTTTTGATTTACTTCACCATTTGCGTGTTTAAGCTTCAGACACTGAAGTGTCGCGTAACTTCAATGATCATTGTTTTCATGTTTGTTTCTCCATTTTTCGACGTACTTTTCACTTTCAAAGGATATCTCTACTATATCCTTCTATTTTTTATTAGTACCACTAGTACTTCTGTTCTAAACAATCATTCTTATTTCCTAGGGTTAGTTTCGTAATTTAGTTGTTATTGTCGACCTACGATATATCCGTTCTTAATTACTTGGAGAGAATTTCTAATATTTTATAATAATGGCATACCATCTAAATGTTCACTATAACGTCAGTGAATATAACTAATCAAAATGTTATCTTGTAATGCGACCTAATCTTATGAATCGCCAACTAGAACGTTTTGTATTCTAAACCAGGATTATAAAGCGTCTGTAACTTGATTAAAAGAATCCTACCTTCTATCCAAATCCAATCATAAACTTGAGTATCAACTTCTGGTAATTATCTTCATATATTTGTATATTCACTTAGTGTTATACATTCTTTATTAACTTCTCTCGTAACATTAACACTTCAAAAGTTATACGGAGAATTTAACTGATGATATTTTCCTTGTTTGGTTGATTGTTTTTTGTTTACCATTTCCCGGAAACGATCATTTTGCAATGTGACAAAGGCTATACTGTGAAGCGAACGATCCAGAAAAATTAAATCAATGAAGAAGTTGGATAAAACTAAAGTTTATTCGTATTCATTTCTATACCGCTGTATAGCTACTCAAAACATTTAAAACAAGTTGTTTGAAAAGATTCACTGGCGTTTTGGAAATAATAACTCTGAAATTCTCGTATCACAAATTAAATACTTGAATTCTAGTTAATTTCACTTTTTTTCGACATGAATCGTTGTTATTCAATTAAAAAACCTTCAACACGTTAAAACATTGTCATACTAATTCTCAGCATTGAGAAGTCATTTATTCACAACGATTCACTTTTTACATGTATTTAAAGGGACTAAAAGCATTCTATCTAAACACGTAATCAAATCCCTTTCCTCCTACTGAAATTCCGATTATTTTGATTTGATTTTCAGATATCCCAGTCTGGTCGAAATTGTACACAAATCGTATCCCTCAACCAGAGGAACTTCTTCACATAATTGACAATCACGTAAAACTCCGAGATTCGACAAAGACAATACAATCTGTCGGTCCACATTTGTAGTAATTAATACATACAACTGGCCTTAGTTTTTTTACCAATAAAAGCGCAAGGTCGTATCATATTTGAGCTTTTTCTGGCTTTATGACAGTTTCCACATCAATCTCTGTTTAGAGAATGTGGTTAACTTGATGCTTTCCTGTTCTAGTTCAAATATGTCGACTAGTGTTTTTACCCCTATTGTATGTGATGTATTTTCTTAAAATTGACTGTCTCCAGTTAAACTTGCTCCTTTGTATATTGTTGGAAATTTTCATTTGTGTAAAGTGATATTCATTTACTTATATGAAAATAAAAGTCCTGTAATCTTCCCAACGTAAATTTTTGTATACATTGATATTCCAACACAAAATGTTGTTATAAAGCTGAAAATTGTTCCAATGGTATACTAAAAGTTCAGTGGTTTTCTTTCATGAACAAAACTCGATTTATTACTGAATATGACATTCGCAAAACTGTTAACTCGTAGCGTATCAAAAGTGAAAAATACGGTCAGTAACCGAATGAAGATTAGGCGAGTACGGTGCAGAAAAATATGTATTTGTTTACTAAAGTGAGCATATCTTTGTGTAACGTACACCGACCGATCTCTGTAATTCGCAAAAACCAAGATCAGTGAGTTGAATATAAGCAATACCCAGGATAATAGTTGTTTGACGGAATTAATTCTTATTCTTACAGATAGTAGAACTAAAAGTGAACTGACCAGTTGGAAAATCACTACCTTTGGTGTGAAACTTAGTTGATTTCCGAAGTATTTACCGAACCTGACCGATGTATGACTTTGGTAGTTGGAAGGCAATAATTTATACTGATTAAGCAATTTCCCAATAACACTAAATGCATGTTAATCACACACAAGAAAAATTCGTCAAATTTTCAGTTGTTAGTCCATCAAAATAAAAACTGAAAATGTACTCAGTTAGCTGTACATAAGGATAGTTCTGGGCTTTTCTACATGCGGACTAGCAGATTATGACTAAACGGTTTATAATAGTACAAACTGATTTACCGGTAGCCCAGAACAAGTGCCGCCCAATATTCTTATCATGTCAGCCTAATTATAAGTTTATCCAAATACTCAAATAACAGATTTGTAGCTACAGCACACGTGCTGCATTAAAACCAAGCAAAACCCTGAAAATATCAGATAAAACTAAGTGTGTGGAAGATTGGAGAAAACCTTATGGATGCGTTCAGCTAATATAATAAAAAGAGTGTCGGACGATTGTTCCACCAAAATTAGTATGAGAGAACAACTTTTGTACATCATGAAATTTAGTCACAAAAAATACCAAAACTTAATACATTTTAAAATCTTTAAAAATCTAGTCCGGGTAGAGGATATTTAGAAGCAAATTCCTCAATTTCAAGCTTCAATTTTTCAATCATTGAACGTACTTCAACGTTTGTTTCAACAACAACCTAGTTAAAAAAAGAAATGAGACTAGTTACTGTATATACACATACATGAGTGACGTTATAAACTTGATAATTTGACGATCAGATTAAGTAACTAACAGTGCAGATAATGGATTTTATCTTTATTCACGCTGCGACAGGTCGCAACCAAAAAAGGGTAGCTTATTCAACGACATGCTGCCCTGTACTACGTGCGCATCACAGAACTTTGTGACCTTAGATGGAGATTTCATGGAATCCAAGCATAGTGGAGAATCAAAATAGTTTGCTTGATCATTCGTAATCCATAATTTATGCCAATCCACATGCAGACAGTTTATTTTATACTGATGTATTAACCAAATATTGTTTAAGTAATATGGGTTAGCATCCACTTCAGTGTGGATCTTTCTATGGTCAATCATATGACATAGTTTGATAGTTGACCCATTCAATAAAATTCCCCCTCTTACTCACTGATTGTAAAAAAAAACTACATAAAAATATTTACAGCTAAGTGACAGCGCATTTTTATGATGTCACATGAACAATGAATTTTTATAAACCAAATTTTTCGGCAATCAGCACGGTGCAAACCCTTTTTTTTTCAAAAACAATAAATATCTAGGTGAACAGTTGTTTTCAGCAGGTTTATTCAGTCAGTCAGCTACAACGTAGGACCAAGCACATTTATGCATCGGTCCAACTTGCCATATCTCGTTAGCACAACAAGATGAACACCGGATTCATAGAAATAATTTATTTAGTGGTGGTAGTATATAAAGGATAGGTTGTATATAAGGATATAGTATAGGAAGGAAGAAAGTTATGAAGCAATTTCAAGGTTTAAGGGAAGATAAAGAGTGTATACACCTACGTCATTGTGATCGATTCTGAGCCATGTCACCTAGAGTCTCCAAACATTGGGTTACGATAGTCACGCGGACTCCAACTAAGTAGTCTGCATCTACCAACATGGCTAGGACCAGAAGTTAGTGACTTCAAGCTTACATGCCACGTTTTGGTTTGGCGGCCCTAACTCTTTTCCAACCATCCGCTACACTGGTCAGCGCAGCACGTCGTGGTAATCGGTGTTCAGGCATATGCAACACGTGGCCCAACCATCTCAGTCGATGAAGATTCATCACCTCATCAACTGATTTACCATCATTCCCTAATACCCTGTGTCTAACCTCACTATTACTTACCCGGTGATCCCAGCAGATGTGAGCAATATTTCCATGACATCTGTGGTCAAATACTAGTGACTTACGAGTATCTTCTACTTTTAATGGCCGTGTTTCACAGCCGTAAAGTAAAAGAGAGCGAGCTGCTGCGAAGTATACTCGTCCCTTAATTGATAGACGGATATCTCGTCTTCTCCATAGGTGACGTAATTTGGCAAATGCCAAACGAGATTTCGTCAGACACCAACCCATTAGGGCTGATAGCAGCCTTATTAACCAACTCCTTGTTATAGATACATAACTATTGTATTATAATGATCAAAATAATGTATACATATATAAGTGAATTAGACAATGCTGCATGTTAAAATAGTTTACTTTGTATTAGCGTCAGAAATTCTATTTCTAGAGCCATTCGTTCTCATTTGGTCGGTAGTGACCACTACATTAAAACAGACGAGCCATTTCCGATTTTATATTAAGCCCCAAACAATTTACTTATTCGAGCAAGATTTCAAATCTTTTATGTAAATGAAGCCGACGGTAACAACTTAATACAACTTATTGATTAAATAAGTATATTCAACCACTTTATCGGAAACACGAATGGGTCACTCTATGCATAAGCCACTCAACAATTTACAACAAATTTTTCTACCTCTTTCGTGAAAGACCTTGAAAATTAACAAATTACGCACTTAAACTATTACTGGTGCAAAAGTTAACAATATTTTAACAAAAAAGTCTTATTCTGGTCAAAATAATAAAAAAATTATAAATATACAACTGTCGAGCCTGACGATGAAGTTATTGTGAAAAATTGTTCGCTAAAATATCCTTTGTGTTTTGAATAATCAATTAATATCTTTGAAAAATTTATTTTACAAAGAACATAATCAGCTAAAAATGGCAATGCCTTTGAATGAGATAAACTTGACATGGAAGTTCCAAAGCATAAATGAGAACTGGTACGCGCGCAGAGTTCACTTAGGTGAGTTGGAAAACCCTGATTTCAAACCAATACCAAGAGTGTACATGAGCTCCGGGAACAAATCGCGTATGAATTTATTGCTGGCCATCGGCTACCATACGATTGCACCTCCTAACGTTGCTCTATTGTTTCGTGGATTGGACCTCTACATCAAAGACTCATAGAACGGCCCCTAAGAAAACCACCTGATTCTGTTTGGGCACCTGGGCAGTATCTTAGCCTACACATAAATCACATGGTGACTATTGGAAAAGATTATTCGCATTATGACGAATTACATTCACAACTATTTGGTCACATTCGTTTTTCTTTTATATTATGTCACTTATATAGTCCCTTTATTCTCATTTTGTGTATTCTTTTATTTCTCAACTCATACAACAGCTCGCCTATGCTGGGAATTCTATTCTATCTAAACCATCTTAAATCACTGACTGTACGAAAGTTGAACGGTACCATCGTATATGAATTCTACACTAGCCTTTCTTAAACTACATGTGTCATTCAAACTGGTCTCCTTAAACGATCACACACTAATGCAGATTGGACAGCAAGAGTTGGTTCTATGTGTCCACAAATTCCCTGGTACGGCCGAGAGTGAGGAGAGTCCGCTCTCCCTCTCCAAATGCTCCACGTGTGTACATCCCCTGCCAGGGAAGTCCTACTCACTGCCTTCTCATGGCACTATTGTTGTTTACGAAATTGAGAAGACGAAAAGCGAATGTCCGGAGCTTTTACCTGACCGCTGGACACAGTGAGTCCACCTAGGGGAGTTAGAAAACCCTGATTTCAAACCAATGGTGCACATGAGCTCCAGTATTCTGAAGGAACGAATGGCGTATGAACCAATCGTTGGTCACCGGCTACCATGAGACTGTATCTCCCTACGATGCTCCACCGCCTTGTGGATCAGACCTTCAGGTCAAAGGCTAGGGGTGTGCCCCCCTGAGAAAACCCTCTGCTTCAGTCTGGGCACCTAGGCAGTATCCCAGCCCTCACACAGATTGAATGAGATTTGTGAGGCGCATATTTATCTGGTGCTTTCTTGTACCAATATTTATGTGTTTAAATAAATAAATGGCTCTCTAAGTTTTAACATCAATGTCTGTTGTTTATCCGATACCCGTAATCAAGACTCTAATGAAGCATTACACATACACTGTCCATCTGTCAATATGAGAAGCTTGTTTCACGTACGTTTATTCGGGGACCAAGTGGGGTTTCCGTCCACCCTTTCTGGTGGTGATGTCCCACTAAGCATTAGAGCTGAGGCAGCATTGATCGACGGGATCCCCTTTAATAATCAATTATGCACTTTTATCAAAGTGAGAAATCGGTGTGAAAAAGGATAAACTTTCGTTAACCTAAGGAGGTGAAGTCTGCAAAGAACTTTAACTCTCGAAGAGCTATAAATCACCAGGACACAATGACTTGCCTCAGATCCATTCTAAAGATAATGGAGAACCTCTAGTTAGGGAATTGATGTTCTGATATCCTGGAATTAGGTGATAGTCTCTCTCATCTTTGGAAAGGGTTTACTTCAACTATGCAACAACTATCTGGGGTTACTTTCAACTGCGTACAAACTGTTGACTTCTGTTACACATCCCAAGTAGCTCAAAACCGATGTAAGACTGACTCACGAAGAGCACGTTGGTTTTCATAATGATTGATGTATTGATTAAAATCTTCGTCCTTCCCCAAATGTCAGTTTATGTATAGTGAAAGATGGAGGCCTATTACAATCTAGGACATCTTTCGTTCAATCTAGCTATAAAAGCTCGGATTTACAACGCGTTGGTAAGAACATTTTGAGTTCATGCTTTGAAATTTGGCTTTTCTGAGATGATGTTAAGCGACTCTCTGTGTCTGATCATAGTTATCCCCGAAGGATTGCTGACATTCACTGACAACGCCATGTTACTGGTGCGAAAGTACGGCAATGTGTGTTCGAGCACAGTGACAATAATTCAATGGGATTCACTATCTTGAAATTCCGATTTCGGTAGCTTGGACATGTGCTACGAATGTCGTCCCAGAGCAGACCAGATCAAGCGTCATTTCCCGATGCTGAAACGAGTTGGAAAAAGCGGAAAGGTCAGCGTATGACAAGGTGGCGTGGTATGAAGCACAGCTGCACAGAACTGGTGTCTGTCGGACGTTCATGACTCTCTCATCGAAGTCCTGTAGATAGTAAAACACAGTAACTTGAGACGTTACCAGACATGGTTCATAATAAAAGTTAAAGGTGGTCCTGTTGTAATGTTCTTTTAATTTCTCCATATAATTGATAAACACTTCTTTAACTGAAAAGATCCATTCTGGTTGTATTTTTCTTAGCTGATACAGGCAAGATAACCATCTGCTAACCAAAGGACGAGTTTAAGGCACAGCAGTTCTACTTTATGAATGTGAAACATGGTCATTAAGAATAGAGGATATTCACAGGTTACTATTATCCGATCATAAGTGTGTTCAAATCATTGCTCGTGCATTTTGGGACCACCAAGTATACAATACCTGAGTTAGCAGTAGGATACTAGGTAAAGATGGTAAGTTGATTGATGAGGTAGTCAATCTTCATTAACTGAGGTGTTTGGAACATGTGTTATGTATGTCCAATTACCGTCTACCTCGACGGGCAATGTTTTATGGTGTAGGAGTAGGCTGGGAGAAAGTTAGAGACGACCTAACTAAAACATGACATCAGTTCATGAAGTCACTGACAATTGAACACAACCATGTAAATAGATGCAGACTACCTGGTTAGGGTTCATGCGATTATCGTAACCAATGGTTAGAGACTTTGAATGACGTGGCTTAAAATCGCTTGTAATGGTGCAAATGCATCCGTTCTTTGTCTTTCCCCGAATTTTTCATAACTATTTTTGTGTTTTGTTTTCACTAATCTATATTTTCATCTCGAATTGTATTTTCGATGGATAATCTTTCCCATTACCACTGATACTACCTCTACTATTCTGGGATTTTGCCTGACAATTTCGTCTCTGTTACCTAATGGAGTATGGGAGCCTGAACCGATGTACATACGTACCAGGTTCTACGTTGTGACTGACTTTCGTAAATGAACTGTTTCTCCCATTACTTATAACTGTCCATTCATTTTGATTCATTTACGGTATTTTTCCATTTATCATACTCACTTTCCCTTCTCTATCTCTTCACAATCTCATCTTTTATTATGTGGCCCATATATATTTTGGTGCCTTTTTGTATCAATATTTTTTTGTCGAAAGAATTAATAATAATAATAATACACTGGAAAAATCGTACTTCATAATCCTTTAATAGTTTGCTGCTAGCAAGTTCATTAGCTTTAACAGCTATTTGAATTGCAACATGTATGAATTCTGAAACTTTCACGAAATCTTCTTCATGGAAATTTCGTGATGTTAATGCGGCACTTCCAAAGCGTAAGCCACCAGGTCTAAATTAAGAAGGAGAAAAAATGGAATTACAAAACATTACTCTATCATACATCTAGTAAGCAAATATCATTAATAATATTAAGGAACTGTTTTGGTTCCCGAATATTTAGTTTGATTTAAGTATTCCCAATGTGAATCTGAAGAGATCTTTAAGTTTTACTGTTATAGACACTATTCACTATTCTATACAAGATATATAAATGAAATTAATCGACTCAAATATACTACATTCATTTAACTGAAATGGATAATGTAATAATCATAGTGTAGTTGATTTTAGTATTTGTAGTAATAATGTTACAACAACTATTGAATTTTTTCCACACATTACGATTTCATATAACTTTAAGTATGCTGCATCTAACAGATTACAACTGCCTATGATGAAAGTTAATAAGTCCCATCTATGAATAAATGTAATTACAAACTGTCCAGACAAATATCCGTCACATTTTTTATATTAGTGCGAAAATGCTATTCAGTTTAATCAGTTGAAGTAAATCAACTATGGTATGGTAACTAATGATCATGTTTCCAGTAAATTTCAAGTTGAAAAGTATTATTTCATTTTCTTAATGGGTACATGGAAACAGATAATAGGTAACATTCGATATAACTTGTTTGGTGAGTGCAGATTATTGCACTCAGCTTCGAACGAGTGTGTTGGTCAATGATACCACCTGGTTACTGGAATTTAAACTAGTGGTGCAAGGTTCGAACATGAGATCTACCAATTGGGAGTTGAATGTTTTTAACTACCAAACAATTCCTTTACCTGAAACAGATGTACAGCGATAAATACAATATTTCAAAAAGGAACAGTAGTTTTCATTTTATAAGACGCTGAATATTTACCTTAAAGCACTAACATCACCAGGACAAGTGTTCTTGTTCGCAGCGATACGAACTAATTCTAGAACTTTCTCAGCTCGGGCACCATCTATTTTCAATGGACGAAGATCCAGCAAGCATAAGTGTGTATCACTACCTCCAGTCACAAGCTATAAAGAAATTTACAACAAAGAAGTAAACATATTGAAATAGTAAAAAAACACGTCTAATTTACCAAATTTCATCGGGGGTATTTTATACACTTTCAACCAATGAAGACGACCATTAAAAGTTTATAATTATTATTTACCTCATAACCGTAAGCTTTTAATGATTTGCAAAGTTGTTTCATATTTTTGAGCACTTGCTCTTGGTAAACCTTGTATTCAGGTGACGCAGCTTCTTTTAAACAAACAGCTATAGCTGCAATAGTGTTATTGTGAGGACCACCCTGTAAACCTGGAAAGACTGCTTCATTAATACGACGTTCAAAGTCTGTTGGAGCAGGATCGGTGTGACATCCATTCTACATGGGTAAAGAAGTGACAAAACAAGTTTTAAGATTTTACGACAAAATAAAATTAGGGAAAATTTTAAAAAACATAGATAACTACAAACTGAATTAAGGACCTTTAAAATGATCGGAATTTTCACTTGCACATTTGAAACAGTACTTATTAATAAAAGATGATATTGATAACTGCCTGAGTTTGAAAATAGTCCCCTTCCAGATCATGAATTCGACTATGTCCCAGATAAATTACTTTTCCGAAAGACTACGTATTTAAGAAAACAGAAAATTCAACATATTGAAGTACCGAATCAATGAATAAATGTATCCACCAAAAACGTTTTTTAGTCAAGGAAGATTGTCTCACTATTATGTGATAGAAAATTACGGCAGAATAATAATTTGCTTTTATTCTAAGCCATACATGATAGTGTTTCAAGCCACTGAGTTGATCATCTCCAAAACATTGACCGGTGTGGATGGATAGATGCCAGGTCAATATACGATATGGGTCACTGGAACAACATTCATAAAACACGACCGAGCCACTGAGACCGATCCTTTAAGATAGTGTAAGTAAACCAATTGAATCATCGTCATTGTGCCAGAAAATAAATTGACATTACTAATATGGTGCTGCAATTCTTCAAAGACAATGATGATAAAATACATTTGGACAACATTCTTAAATCGGAGGTCAGATTTCTCAAGTATGGGGCAAAATTACTCTTATCAACGCACTACAAAGCCGACCTTTTATGGCTAAGTCAGCACTACGATGGGTCAATATTGACATAGGACAGCTTTGGTTTTCACTATACATAGATTAATCTAATTCGTCACTCCAACACTAGTACTCAAAAACTACCCAGATACAAGAACTTCTCGATGGATCACAACAAAACGTGGGAGTGGGCACGTGCTACTGTCAGCCTTACAAAGTTATTTTGCATTCAGATGGTGGAAAGTTTTTCCCTAGGCAACATATCTACACTACCACTTACTTTCTTTATAGCTCTTTCCAGAATATCATCGATGGCAAAGTTGGAGAATGGTGAAACTCGACAACCCCCACTTAACTCCACTGTTAGACTGTGAAAAGAGAGACGAATGGATGTAAGCTCAGTGTTTAAGGTTTTTACGTATAGAAATTTCAAGATGTCAATAAATTCGTGAACCACACCGTTTTTTTAACAAACAATCCAGGAACTCAGTCTGTCCTAAGAATCGAAGGTGGTTCCAATATTAAGGAGTGCAGTGATTGTTGCACTTTAGTAGATGTAACGGTGTTTTAGCATTTGGTAAATTGAGGATATAGTCCACGATCTGAACGAAAATCAGTCTGCTACTCACGAGTCAGTTCTTCGAGGGTTTTGCCAAATCTGCGGAGTATAACAGATTCCAACAACTCAGGAGCAATCTAAATAAAAATTATATCCCAATAATTGTTGCGTCATTTACAAAATTCTTTTTTAAATATAAGAACGACGATCACTTTATTCCACGATGATGGAGCACACTTCAGTCCCCAAATTTTTCAAAACAAACCAGTCAGTTTCCGGAGTAAAACTTATCCCTATTTTTAAAAGAAAACCTTAAGGACCACTGAATAATTAGGCCAATCAGTATTCATAGGCAAAAGAGGACAGAACAATCTGATCAACGTCGCTGGAGCAAAAGATCAGTTGGGCTATTTTCCGAAGTGCTCATCCTAGAGTTTAAGACGCTTTTAGAGGTTGCTGATTAGCATGTCATCGACTTTATAAATTGTTTCACTGATATCAATGACCTGAATAAGTTGGAACAGCTTCCAAGAGTTACAATATGCTAATACTGCTTTAAAGTGATTTGCACGCTTTGACCACAATGTTGCCCAGTCTTTTTGTAAACTAAGAAATTTTCTGACGTGAGGATCTATGCATATCGAATCTGTGACTCGCCAGAGTGGATAGGACTGTATGTATCGGGAGTTAGAGATAGCCAGAAACAAGTTATGTTCTGCAGAAGAGGATAATCGTTTGATCTATGACTATCAAATGAGTATTGGTCATCCAAAAGTCTTTCCTCTGTACACAGCTGCCCGATATAATCGTTCAACCCCCAGTTATTACGACACCATCTGTCGAATGAGCTGTTTTGAGGTCAATTAACTGAAGGTAGAACTCATCTTTAATTCCATTCAGTCTGGAATCCGTCGGTACGTCGGTGGAAATTATGAAAAGATATAACTCCCACTCTAGTTTCTTCCCACTTTTTGAATCGAAAAGCACATAAATGATTGTAAACAAAGATCAAATCGATCATTGATGCCCTGTCGACACTGATGTTAGAAAAACATGATGTTGATGCCACAGGGTCTCTGAATAAGCTTAAGTAAAATAAACTTTATTGTCGTGATAGATGGATAACTAACTGTAACACTTCACAAGTCTTGATTACAGACCTAAGAAATACAACACACGAGCTTTCATAAAAGCTATACCAGATTTTATAATTAATGGCAATATTCACAAAATCGATCATTCGGGGACTTAAGGCTGCGAAGGCAGGACAGAAATCTCAACAGAGATAAGTTTAGAGATAAAAGTGAAGATGGCAATAAAGGACTAACGGCACACAACGGAAGCTATTCTCGGGATATTATCTCGTTTAGTTAGAAGTCTATAAATACCAACATTTAGTTTTGTGTCTACTTGCTTCTAGGAATCGTAAGCTTTCCTTTAATATATAATTCACTATCATGTTCCTTTCTGTTCCGAAATCACTTTAATTTAAACTCGACCCTTGTAGTCCATTTTTTCTAATCTAATGTCCTAGTTTGGATATAACTGTATTTTCCCCATTCTTTGTCGTAGTCTTGTTAGACATATCATGTGCCTTTTTAAGTTAGTTCGAATGAAGAGTATATCAAACAACAGTTCCGGCTAAAACGTTTTTTCCTCCGCTTGTCAGTCTACCAAACCACAGATTGGTAGTAGGATAGTTTTCTTCTTTCTGCTCTTAAAGTCATTCAGTCATAATCGAACTCATGCTTTGCAAGTCTTAAGGTTGTACCAAGTGACCTATCACCTTAAAGCCGTAAACCAGATCGAGATAATTTGTTCTCTACATATTAAGCATAGACTGGCGAGCAGACAGATTAAAGACGTAACAAAATGCATATACAAAACGAAGGCAAAAATGAATAGAAGGATGAAGCTTGTAACAAGGTAACTGTGAACGTTTAGAAGGATAGAGAGCGGATGATTACCATACTTGTGTAATATTGAGTCACCCAGTTTGCAACAATTTGATCGACAGACTGGTCTGAGCTAATAAAAAAAAGCTATCCATAACTCAATCATAAATTTTACAAAAGTACTCGAAAGGCCTAATCATGTACAATGTAAATGTTTTTTACGTAGTCCTCAAATAGCATTATTAGGATAATAACTTACGTAAAATTGAACTTTAAAACACTCACTTCAACACCGTTTTCTTTTGATCTGGCTATTTTTCTATAAAATATCATTGCACCTCGCGGTCCACGAATTGTTTTATGAGTAGTAGTCATCACTACATCAGCATACTTGAAAGGAGAAGGGTGAAGTCCTGCAGCAACCAGACCACCAATATGAGACTGAAAATGAAAGGAGCAATGATGGTAAGATAGATTATTCTACAAACAAACGATATCAGTGTCAAATCTTGTATTTAATTTGTAACATTAACAGTTAATCATCACACTGAGAGTGAATAATGGTGGCGAATCGAGCAAAATGAATACCGAAATAAACATATACACTTTATACGAATATTCGTCAATATCAGAACGAATGGCTTGACAAAAATTGTGTGCCAAGTATAAAGAAGCTACTATAAGTGAAAAAATATGCTTGAATTAATCTCAGCAATTGAAATTTAAATGATTCCAACTTTTCGTCTAGCAAACTTGTCTGGGCTTACACAGGGTAACATTCAAAATCAAAATTATCAAAGAATATATATCGTTTAACAATCAAATCAATTCTTAACTATGCTTATCTAATCATATTTAAATATTGATTTTAGTAAGTAGGACAACATGAGTCAGTCCACAATGTGAAAAATGAATTATGTATGTGTAATAATTGAGTTGTTACTAGTTGACACTAGGTGTTAATTTGTTTTTATACGAAGCAAAAATAAAAATAAAAGTACAAGTTAAAGGTTGAACATAATAAACAAACATGATATAAGAATATATTTTTGGGCTAATGACACCATAAGATTAGAATTAGTGAAAGTTAAGGATACATTTCTAAAGGGAAACCAACAGAATGTTGTCTATAAGATGAACTGTCATGGTTGGAATACAGCTTATATTGGAGAAACTTAAAGACAATTAAATATGAGGTTGAAGGAACACAAATAATGTTTGAAAAATGTTATCGAATCCTTGGTTGATGTGAAGAAACTTGAGAATAGATCGTCGATAGAGTTACATGCGTTAGTAACAGGACACAAGGTCAATTTTGAAGGGACCGAATAATTCCGGAAGATTTTGGCACACATAAAGAAAAATAGACAGCAGAAGCGCTGTATGTATGGGCTGATAAGGACAGTGTGAACAGACAGAATGGTATTTAACTGGCTACAACTTGGTAAATGTTCATTAACAAATAATTGTACCCTTTCTCTATCCAACCTGTTTATTTCACATGCATCGTTATTCTGACAGAAATTAATCTGAGATATTTTAGCATTATAATTATGTATCTGGTAGTTCTCATTTTACGTGCACATCGACGTTTCAGAAACAATTTCAACCTTCAACTTGTGCTTTTATTTTTATTTTTGCTTCGTATAAAAACAAATTAACACCTAGTGTCAACTATTAACAACTCAATTATTACACATACATAATTCATTTTTCACATTGTGGACTGACTCATGTTGTCCTACTTACTAAAATCAATATTTAAATATGATTAGATAAGCATAGTTAAGAATTGATTTGATTGTTAAACGATATATATTCTTTGATAATTTTGATTTTGAATGTTACCCTGTGTAAGCCCAGACAAGTTTGCTAGACGAAAAGTTGGAATCATTTAAATTTCAATTGCTGAGATTAATTCAAGCATATTTTTTTCACATATATAGCCATGGGCTCACCTCCAGGCCCGATTCTTGCTGATCTCTTCTTAGCTAAGCTAGAAAATGGCCCACTTAAGGAGGCTATTAAGAAGCTCGATCTATACTGCCGCTACATCGACGATACATTCATAGTCGTGGATCAGAACACCAGTAAGGATGAACTACTAGAACAGTTCAACAGTGTACATCCAGCGATTAGCTTCACTGGTGAAGGTGAGTGTGACATGAAGCTGAATTTCCTTGACGTTACACTAAGCAGGCGAAGTGATGGCTCGTTAAGTAGAAGCGTGTATAGAAAAAGACCCTCTGCCTGTCAATACACTCACTTCTATAGCTTTACACCTATCCAATATAAGAGAAACTTGGTTAAATGCCTCACTAGTAGAGCAAATAAGATCTGTTCTGTTGATACTTTAAGTCAGGAACTGGAATTTATCTATAACTCACTGACTGAGATCGGCTACCCTGCTGTGTTCATCAAAAAGTACATGTATGATACAAGGAAGAAATCGGAGATTTTAACTGTTCGTAAGAAGCCTCTATACATGAAATTACCATTCAAAGGGGATGTAGCTAGTGAAACTCTGAAAGATAGGTTAACAAAAGTAATTAGTAGAACTTTCTACGCAGCCTATCTTGCATTGACTTTCTCGAGTCGACCAGTGATGTCTACTCAAACGAAGGATAAGTTACCTGAGTTGGCCTCCTCCATATGCATTTATAAGTTCAGCTGCTCCTGTGGAGATAGCTATATCGGGCGTACTACTAGGCAACTTAACCAACGAATGAGTGAACATCTACCAGCATGGTTTGGAAAGGGCCAAATAAAAACAATACGCAGTTCTATCTTGGCACATCTAATTGATAGTGGTCATATTGTTGATAAATTGAAATCATTTCAAGTGATCTATCGTATACCTCCATCGTTTCCCAACGGAGTTCGCTCCCGTCTACTTCATATAGCAGAAGCCATAGGGATTCGTACATTCCATCCCAATTTATGTGTACAGAAGAAATTCGTAACCCCCCTATCCCTTCCATGGCCGGACATAACTTAATAATTGACATTATTATTATTTGTAAAAAAATTTTTTTATTTTTGGTTATTATAATTTTTTGTTTGTTTGTAATTTTCTACCTCTTTCCGTTTGTATTCTTCACTATCTATTTACTTACATACTTCTTATTACGTAATGATTTTAATGTTTTGTGATTACTATTCCAGACTATTTACCCACGTTTGACCTCTTAATTCTTATGTTTAATTATTGATAAGACTTTTGTTATCGTAATTTACTATTCTTACTACTATCAGTACACCTGTCTTCCCACTATCAACTTGTACTTTTAACTATTATTATGCTTGGTAACGTATTTCTATTTCATTGTGATTATTATTGACTCAAATAGCCTTGATTGGTCTAACATTTTTATATAAATATTCATGTATATTAGAGTAAAGCCTGATGACGATCTAATTGAAAACAATTGTTCGCTTACATATGTTGTTCTACATATAAACATGTACACTACATGAAGTGGGGAGCATAGTGAAATTCAACTTTCATATGGAACTAATAAAGATGAAAAGCTGAGAGTACATACACGCTCAACTACTACCCTATAATCTATATTTATTATATGATTGTAAAATTAATTTGACATATACATACTTTTAAACTTTAAAATTTGAACACATGACCCCATGCTATCGTATAAATATGCAGAGTTCACTAAAACTCAGACGACTTAAACCATATGCTACGCTATGGTGGCTGTCGCTGTCAGATATCATTTATGAGTGAATTACGTAGATAAGCAATGTTGTGAGGTCAAGCCTCAAAACATAATGTACACAATACTGCAATTAGTGGATATCTGGCTAGTTTAACAAGGATTTATTGGTGAAACGGTAAAGAAAATGAAGATGAGAAATTTTTAAGCTCCAAAAATATAAATATTTTGAAGAAGTATTTAACTCAATCATATCATTTAATCTATTTCGCATGAACAATAACCAATATAGGAAATTTTATCGTCAAGGGAATAATATGTTATGTTATATCAATAGTATTTAACCAAGGTTTACTAAATTTAATTTGGCTCGTTAATAAAACGCTTATTTTTGAACTACATTTCTTGTGCAAACGTTAGTGGTAGAAGTAATTATGAGAATCGGCAATTTAATTAAATTTGTCAGTCAATGCAACTAAATCTATTAGTGTTGCAAAATGTATACATGCATTTAGTCACTGATTAATTTATGCCAAGGAACTCCCTAATTTAATGTATTTAAATTTCACTACCAATCGGATATGCCAATGACAAACAACTCAGTTATTCAGATATACTTTCGATCAACGGTTGAATCTGTTACGAATTTATTGTTGGTGCATAATAAAATCTTTATCTGTAGTCTTGCCTTCTTTCTTGCGTTGAGCTGTACCAGTGCTTGTTCTGTTATAACGAGTAGCAAGTAATCAGATGTTTCTGCAGGATGCAACAAGTAACCATACCAGTACTTTGTCAAGTTACAACGGTCAGTACTGCCTGACTAAACAAACTGAAGTAAGGGGAGTATACATCCAACTTGATTAAATCATCAAGTTATCGCTCAACATAAAAACCAATGGTTCTTATTTTTGTCATCCAGATTTCAATATTTCTTGTATTTTGTTCTTACCAAACCGTTAGGTGAACAATAGTGTAAAATAATCATTTTCTCTAGATGCACTATTTTGAAGTAGGTTAGACCACATTACGATAAATTCACTAATAATATCTATGTGGAAAATATAAGTTATGTAGTTGCATAGAATTTAATGAATAAATATATGCCAAAATATTCGTTAATTCTCAAAAATATACCACGAGACTTTGATAGAGAACACGGTAAAAGATAGTTGAATTTTGTAATTGTTATCATTACTACTACCAGCTTCCAGCTGAAGAGGAAATTAGGAAAAGACGTTGGAAGCGGATCGTATATACATTAAGGAAATCATCAAACTGCATCACGAGGCAATCCATAATTTGGAATCCGGAAGGAAAGCGGAAAAGTGGAAGGCCAAAGAACAAATTACGCCGGGAAATAGAAGCAGATATATATATATATATATATATATATATATATATATATATATATATATATATATATCATTGATATTTATTTATATCAACGACAAAAGGAAGTTGAAGATTGTTAACGGTTACCTGTACGACACAATAAATGCTTCCGTTCCAACTTCCTTTTCAGGTCCCTCAAGAACAAACACACAAATATTTATAAACCTTCAACAGACATTTGAAAATCAATCTTAATATTTACCATATCAGCAAGTAACACAGCTGAGACTGAATCTGCAATTTGTCGAAATCTCGGATAATCTAAATGACGAGCATATGCTGAAGTTCCTGCAACAATCAATTTAGGACGAAAAGATCTTGCTACAATCTCCAATCGTTCATAATCTATCCATCCAGTCTTGGGGTCAACTTTGTAAGGAACAGACTCGAAGAACAACGATGTGGCAGAAACCTGGTAATAACAAATATTTGCAAAAAATAAAATGGTTCCGTAAAAGCAACTGAATATGACAGCTGATTATAAGGTAAATGAGATAGTGCTGTTGATAATAAGGAATTTATACCATGATACGAAATGCTAAGCATTAGAAAACTGAAGAGTTTGGGTACCCGGGTAGTAACATAGCCCTTACACAGTTGTGTGGCGCATATTTATCTGGTGCCTCCTTGTACCAATACTTATGTGTTCAAATAAATAAATAAATAACATCTCCAACTATTGGTTGAAGTAAACACATGGATCAGAATTAGGTAGCCTTCACCTAGCTACATTGCTCAGCCTAATAGCCCATAAACTCCGCCTGTAGCTCCTCTGGGGGTTACTGCCGGTCCCAAGCCCGGGTAAAGGAGGAGGGTTGGGCATGGGGTTAGCGACCCCATCCCGTAGAAAATCAACTCGCTAAAAAACGCTAACCAGAAAAAATCATTCAAACCTTTCAAACTCTGCCCTGGGAGTAGAAGGAATAACTATCACGTCTCATGATGAAAGCCGAGTTCATTCGGAAGTCATGAGGCCGATGCACCTTCTTACAACCAAAGCGACAATTTTTATAGGTACATGGAATGTCCGAACAATGTGGGAGACCGGAAGAGTTTTCCAAATTGCTGCAGAAATGAGAAAATACAACCTGGAGGTGCTTGGAATCAGCGAAACACATTGGACGCAGGGTGGACAACAACGACTGTCTTCAGGAGAACTTCTGTTATACTCCGGTCATGAAGAAGAAAATGCCCCACATACACAAGGAGTTGCATTGATGCTGTCCAGAAAAGCACAAAATGCACTTATAGGATGGGAATCTCATGGACCAAGGATCATCAAAGCCTCCTTCAGAACAAAGAGAGAGGGCATTACAATGAACGTCATCCAATGCTATGCGCCTACCAATGACTACGATGAAGACGCTAAAGACCAATTCTACGATAGGCTGCAGTCGATCGTCGAGAAGTGCCCAACCAAGGACCTGACAATTCTGATGGGAGATCTCAATGCTAAAGTTGGAATGCACAACACTGGATACGAAGACGTCATGGGACAACATGAACTGGGAAGAAGGAACGAAAATGGTGAGAGATTTTCAAACCTATGTGCCTTCAATAAACTGGTCATAGGTGGCACCATATTCTCACACAAAAACATACACAAAGCCACTTCGATTTCACTGGATCACACTACACATAATCAAATCGACCATATCTGCATCAACAAAAAGTTCAGGAGGACGGTGGAGAATGTGAGAACCAGAAGAGGAGCTGATATAGCATCCAATCATCATTTGCTGGTCGCCAAGATGAAACTAAAACTCAAGAACCAGTGGACAACGGCGCGGACAACATCACAAAAGTTTAATACGGCCTTTCTTCGAGATGCTGACAAACTCAACAAATTCAACATAGCCCTCAGCAACAGGTTCGAGGCCTTTCATGACCTACTCAATGGAGAGGGAACTACCATGGAGAGCAGCTGGAAAGGTATCAAGGAGGCAATCGTTTCAACATGTCAGGAGGTTCTGGGCCAAAAGAAGCACCATCACAAGGAATGGATCACTGTTGGTACACTGGATAAGATTGAAGAAAGAAGGAACAAGAAGGCAGCAATCAATATCAGCCGAACCAGAGCGAAAAAAGCCAAGACACAAGCCGAATACACAGAGGCAAACAAGCAAGTGAAGAGGAGCATCAGAACCGACAAACGTAAATATGTGGAAGATTTAGCGATGACAGCGGAAAAGGCTGCAAGAGAGGGAAACATGAGACAATTGTATGATACAACAAAGAAACTTGCTGGAAATTACCGTAAGCCAGAAAGACCAGTGAAAAACAAGGAAGGCAAAGTAATCAACGATATTGAAGAACAACGAAACAGGTGGGTAGAACACTTCAAAGAACTCTTGAATCGACCAGCCCCACTGAACCCACCCAACATCGAAGCAGCACCCATGGACCTCCCAATCGATATTGGCTCAACAACAATTGAAGAGATCAGCATGGCCATTAGACAAGTCAAGAGTGGCAAAGCAGCGGGACCAGACAACATCCCGGCAGAGGCACTAAAAGCAAATGTAACAGAAACTGCCAAGATACTCCACATCCTCTTCAGTAAGATTTGGGACGAAGAACAAGTACCAACAGACTGGAAAAAAGGACTTCTGATCAAGATACCAAACAAAGGCGATCTGAGCAAGTGCGACAACTACAGGGGTATCACTCTTCTCTCAATACCAGGAAAAGTCTTCAACCGAGTATTGTTAAACAGGATGAAGGATTCCGTGGACGCCCAACTTCGAGATCAACAAGTTAGATTTCGTAAGGATAGATCGTGCACAGATCAAATCGCAACTCTGCGGATCATTGTGGAACAATCAATCGAATGGAATTCATCACTCTACATCAACTTTATTGACTACGAGAAGGCATTTGATAGCGTGGACAGGACGACACTATGGAAGCTTCTTCGACACTACGGCGTGCCTGAGAAGATGGTCAATATCATACGGAACTCCTATGATGGACTAAACTGCCAAATCGTCCACGGAGGACAACTCACCGACTCGTTTCAAGTAAAGACCGGTGTTAGACAAGGTTGCTTACTCTCACCCTTTCTCTTTCTCCTGGTCATCGACTGGATCATGAAGACGTCAACATCTGGAGGAAATCACGGGATACAGTGGACAGGCAGGATGCAGCTTGACGATTTAGACTTCGCGGATGATCTGGCTCTTCTATCACAAACGCAACAACAAATGCAGGAGAAAACGACCAGTGTAGCAGCAGCCTCAGCAGTAGTAGGTCTCAATATAAACAAAGAGAAAAGCAAGACTCTTCGATACAATACAATATGCACCAATCAAATTACACTTGACGGAGAAGCTTTGAAGGATGTGGAAACCTTTACATATCTGGGCAGCATCATTGATGAACACGGTGGATCAGATGCAGATGTGAGGGCGCGGATCGGCAAAGCAAGAGCAGCATACTTACAACTGAAAAGCATCTGGAGCTCAAAACAATTGTCAACCAACACCAAGGTTAGAATTTTCAATACAAATGTCAAGACAGTTCTACTGTATGGGGCGGAGACGTGGAGAACTACGAAAGCCATTATCCAGAAGATACAAGTGTTCATCAACAGCTGTCTACCCAAAATACTTCGGATCCGATGGCCAGACACTATTAGCAATAAGTTACTGTGGGAGACAATAAACCAGATTCCAGCGGAGGAAGAAATCAGGAGAAAGCGCTGGAGGTGGATTGGGCACACTTTGAGGAAATTACCCGATTGCGTCACAAGACAAGCCCTCACATGGAATCCTGAAGGTCAAAGGAGAAGAAGAAGACCAAAGAACACATTACGCCGAGAAATAGAGACAGACATGAGAAGAATGAACAAGAACTGGATAGAACTAGAAAAGGAAGCCCAGGACAGAGTGGGTTGGAGAAAGCTGGTCGGCGGCCTATGCTCCATTGGGAGTAACAGGCGTAAGTAAGTAATAGCCCATAACTCTTTGAATCGATGGGACTCTATTTTCTCCCCTAACACCTTCCCTTTCAAATACTTGAACAAAATATAGTGGAGGATGTGATTAATATTCGTTCTTATTAGATCGTTGTTACTAAACACATTTTAAGTGCAAGAGCTTGGTTTTGATTAGTAAGTGGTTTTGTAGCAAAAACGATAGTCTTATCGTTTTGTTAATGGCTTATTGTGCATTTTGGCACTCAAGACGATAACCTGAATAGAATCTATTTCTCAATTTGCTACTTTACTTTGTATCACGAGGTCACGGCATATTCAAACATGATAAACTACATATTTATTGTGACTTTCAGGAAAATTTGAGAATTAGGAATTTTGTCATTATTGAATCATACAAGGTAGGAAAATGAACATGACAATGCTGAGCTAAATGGAAACACTGAGACTTGAGTCGGGAAAAATCTAGATAAGAGTGGACGAACATCAGGGAGATAGGAAAATACAGTTTAGACATCAAGTACCACTTGTGCATGAAAATAAATCTCACTTTTTTAAAGTCAGTTGTTTATGAGTTTAAAAAGCTGCTACAAAACTTCAAACAGTTTTTACTTTATCAGTGGATCTACCCCAGCAGAAGTTTAAGTGATACTTAGCATCGATGATCTTCAAACAGTCCTGTGTATATCACAGGACACTATGATGTACTTCATATTTACTGCTAAACGAATTCGGTATGACTTATATGTAGATATCGTAATATTGTCTGAAGATTTGCTACCATGATAACAGTAAAATTTGTTGAGAAAATCTTGAAGTCTTATTATCAATCGTTGAAGTAGGATATTTAGTTATTGATTCGATTTTAAAATTATTAGTGAGTAAATGTCATAGAGAAGTTATAAAATAAAATAAAAAGGACATATAGTTTATTTTGAGCTGCAATAGTTATTTGATTGGTTTGAGCCTTACAAAAACCAAGACATTTAAATGTTCAGGAATGTTTAATCATAGGAATTTGAATAACACACTATATACCCACGAAGTTATCGCACACAGTTCAATTACTCTGCAAAATATATACCCTCGCAATTTTATTTCGTGTTCAGAAGTACATTATGTTAGGTATATATTTTATGAAAATCTGTTGCATCCTTTAAACTAGATCTGTATAATCTCACTGTATTATAAACCAAAACACTGAAAATAAGTTTAAAAGCATGAGATATCTGTATTTCCAAATACTCCACATTACCCATTTCATTGAATTAAATTGCATGATTAGATTGTCGTAAAGACTTCTGTGACTCCCTTCTTAAGAGCAATGTTAGTATGCACTAATGATAAAAGAAGCAATAAAAATAACTTTAGGGACAACGAAATACACCAACCTTCCGACCAGATGCAGCTTGATATCCATGAGTAAGATGTCCACCATCTGGTAAGTCTAATCCCATAATACGACCATGAAGACCGACCAACCCCGTATATATGGCGAAATTAGCCGGTGATCCACTATAAGGTTGAACATTAACACCCCATTCAGATTCATCAAGACCGAATAGGGCGAGAGCACGCTTCTTGCATAAAGTTTCCATTTTGTCTACAACTTCGGTACCACCGTAATATCTTAAATATCACAAGGGAATAAATTCGAAAATTCGTAACAAGTTATCTTGATCAAGTAAAGTACAAAAAACATCACATATGCACTAGTAATAACTCTAAATATGGTTATGATTTTTACGTACAATAAAGTGGATTTGTTTAGCCAAACCTAATGTAGATTTAAATGCACTTTAATTAGTTGTGTTGGTGTAAAATACCTCTTGGTACAAGTAATATACCCCAACCATCTAAGTCGACAAGAACTTAAAACTACAAGTGAGTTGCCTTATTTGGTGGCTTACCAATAACAATAAACAATAAGGTGATGGTTTAGCGGATAATCTGTTACGTTACGTCCCCAAACCCAGCCCCATAAACTTCAGTTTATACACCTGGTTGATTTCATCAGCTGTAAAACAAAATTGTGATTTACACTAAAACATTGACACATGCTTGATAAATGATTTAAACCATCGATTAAGGCAGCAAGAATTGTGTGATAACATCATATAAACTGTAGCTCCACTAAATGTAAAGAGCGCTTCAAAGAGCTATGTCTCACAAGCGTGGAGTATCATATAAAGGTATTGGGTGATCTTTGCTAATCAGTACATAGATAGATATTTCTCGATCAACAAAAACCTAGTATTTTTAGAAATGCTAATTCGGCTCTTCATGTGCTTGCAGAGATTTAACGGTTACAATCTGCAAGGCTGAAACCCATTACTTACGTGGATAACGTGAAAACCCGCCCTACTTCATACTGGCAGACCATGTCGACAATAACCATTCCCATAATATGACTAGTAATTCGTTTATAGGAAAGGATCAAATTTCTTTTCCGATAACCACAGAGGCAATTTGACTAGTACAACGTGTAAAATATTGGCACCCTACAGGGAAAATCATGCTGAGTCTACTAAACACTTACCCTTTGCCGGGTTCTAGAACAGAGGTATACTTACCGACAACCAAAAATAGCCCCATTTGTTGCCTTCGAGGCAATATTTGATTCTGATGATGGGAAAGTTTTGTGGTAGTATTAATGTGCCAAGTTTTATGTTACCCATCACTGACGTATTGTTTGCAATTTGATAAGTGCAAAATATCTTGGAAAACTCTAGACTTTACATAAATATTTAGTTAACCGTTGAGCTTATTACTATTATTACCTGGAAGTACAACGTGTAACTGACTTTTGAAGGTACGGATAAGCGATTAATATCAACAAAAACACTAACAGAATAAAGTAAATTATATCAGAAATATTTTCGATGATATCGACTAGATTATATCTTATTATACAATTGTGTAGAGTCATAATTACCTAGCACCAACTTGACCTTCAGAATATTTGTTGTGAAACGAAGACGATAAGGCTTGCAGGACAGCTTGGCTTGTGAAATTCTCTGAAGCTATTAACTCCAATCCAAGTTTCTGACGCTCTTTTTCCTCCCTGCATAATGCCATAATTTCAGGGTCACTTTCAGCAAGACTGATACTCATTTTTGATATTAACCTGAATGTGAGTAGGAAACAGAGACAACTGATTAATTATTGCTGAAAACATGAAAAGCTCGAAGAAATTTGAGTCAGCCAAAGTAAAGAAGCACTGTTGTAAATACAAATTATTCCACAAGCATTATTAATTTCAAATTAGTTGAGTACTTGGTGGATTGTTCATAATCAAATATTAGTAAAGTAATATCCTGATGAATCTTAAATTTAATTTTAGACTTTTTGAGACAATATAATATGCTCCTTTGAAGAATAGGTAACCAAATCAAATTAATTTCAGATGGTACGGATGGAAAGAAAAACCAAAACTGAGAGTACTGAAAACAAGTTGACGATAGTGAGAGAGATATTTATGTATACCTGAGTGAGTGTAAAAAAAGTGATATTGTGACGTGGAGTACAGTAGATTTGTGTGCTAACGGGATAAGATCTAAACAGGTTGTATGACAGGGAAAATGGTACAAGTTGAATGTCAAGTCAAACCTTCCTATCGGTTAAGCTTAGTAGCAATATACGGAAGGCTCTAGTCGTTCGACTTTCTGTGGTTTGAAGAATCTTGAATTATTTTGATGCTTTTTGTACTGACTTGATAATTGTTGGATATAGCATGTACTGCTATCGCTGGTCCACTCGGCACATCTTGACCACTAGGTTGTGTCGATTTTGATGCCTCCCATATATTCCAGTCTTCTCATATAAAAAACATTCAAAATGTACGGCAAAAACTAATCATCCCGCATAACTCGACAGTTTACAAATAAGGGAAGCAGAAGTAGTACATGTACATCTCAGTAATTATCGGATCGATTTTTGTAAGATCTATTTGAAAATGACTTTTACTTGATTGTATGACTAAAGGAAATCAGGTTTATAAAAGTAGTTTTGCAATAAAAGGACTTATCTGAACGAGTTATTGATATGAAACTCGGCTGTAGTACGGTAAAGGCTCTTTTAGAAGAATGTAAAAGTGCACACGCCTGCATAATCTCTTTTTTACAACAGATACTTAAATTCCACATTTTTTCAAGCCAACCAGGAATTAGGCAAAGAAAAGGAATACGAAAAGTCGCTTATTTATTTGTTATTCATTATATGACTCAATAACATGAACGCAGACTAGTCCCTTAACGTGAAGAACTACCAGGAGTATACAGCAAAGGTTAGGTTATCGGGTTTAAACTGCTGGCTGGTAACTCTTAGGGATACTTCTCACTATCCACTTGGGTGTGAGCTGACAACCGGAACTGACTTTGTTACCCGGTTTGGGACTCTCACGTTAGTTAAACGCAGTCTTTCAATTTCATTAGGGAAGACATATAACTAAAATATTAATCATCATCGGTTAGTTTTTAATCTTATGCAAATGCCGACCGTCTGGCTGAGAGACGCAAGATTGTCTTCAATTCATGAAACAGGGTTTTGGAGTCCATGGGTCAGTCAGTCAGCTACACATAGGACCAGGCACATATATGCATCCGTTCAAGTTGCCACACCTCATTATAGCATAACAAGACGAACATCAAATTCATAGTTGTTACTTCAATGGTAGTAATATATAAAAGAAAGATTGTGTATAAGGATATAATACAGGAAGAAAGAATTAGTTGGTAGAAAGATATAAATCAATTTTAATCTCACGGTTTAAGGAAAGACAGCGAGTGCATACACCTACGCCGTTGTGATCGATTCTGAGCCATGTCACACAGTCTCCAACCATTGGTTACGATAGTCACGCGGAACCCAACCAAGTAGGCTGCATCTACCAACATGGCTAGTTAGTGACCTCAAGGACTGATGCCACGTTTTAGTTTCACCGCCCCCAACTTTCTTCCAATCATCCCCAACACTAGTCAGCATTTGTCCATGGGTTATATCCTCTATATTATGAGTGGTTGTTCTTCACAACATCATGGTCTCCAAGTGGAGAATGGATACCAAAATGACGATCTCTTTGGTTTGGAAAACCAAAAGCATGGTGATACGGAGATGTAACCCATGGGAAACCCAGCATGAAATGTCGAAGGACCTTTGGGGCTCCTTTGATATAGTATTTAAACGGTATCTGGAGGCGTACTGGGATTTTCGAAATGGATATTTTAAATTGCTGTGCTATTTAGAGCAGAATGTTAACGAAAAATGACTGGAGAAATGTTTCTTGGTATTTGTTTAGTATATAAAAAGTACCGGAAAAAGGTAGGTGTCCAAAGAGTTTCGAAAAAATTACGTTTATCAAATTAAGTAAGCGTAGACGCATACTGCACACAAATAAAAGGCCTCCAGCTGAGCGGGAAAATTTTTAGTAACACCCGTTGTTTGAAGATAGTTTTCTACTGGTAGGTTCGGTATCTGCAACCAATATAAGATTACAAAGAAGCATAATAAGACAATAAGAATGTATACAAATACGAATCCTCATTTTAAAACCACTACCTGTACGACAGCAGAGAGTAAGCATTCAATGGAAAAGTTAAACCCAGAATACCACTAAAACGGAAGATGACACTTTGCAAGACAGCTCCTTGATGTATTGACATTATTTTTATCAGGATAATAAAGACCAAAGTAGAACTACAGAAAAATACAATATTCATATCAGATATATAATAGAACGGCATTGAACTGGCCAGTGTTTCTGGACAGATTAGCATGAGACCGACAACAGATTGGGTCGATCGACTAATATCAAACTCAAGTTTTGAATGAATTACAGAATATCCCGAATTCATATAATCTGATCTCATGTCTAATTTCATAGAGCACGTCTTAGGGCTAGGAAGATGTAAAAACTCTGGAGTCGTTTGAAAATATGACTACTAATCTTGTTATGTACTTTATTTGAAACTGAAGCATTTGACAGACAGTTGTTATTTCCATCGTGTTATATGGGTGTGATATTCGACTTTTGTCAAACCAGTATAAAATTTGTGAAGGCCCCCATGAGCCCGAGTTCAATGTGGCTTGCATTCAGTGTTTATAGGGAAAAAACTGAAAATCACATAATGTCAATCTCGATACACAACAACTTTTGTATATATCATAAATGACTCTTGGTTAAAGGTAATAATTTCCAGATAGTTCATAAGAAACAAATAACGAATCACAAAGAACTGTAATTATTCACACCTAGGTGAGTAGATGTAAACTGTTACAGTTTTATGACAATACTGTCATAGGGCTTCGAAAAACGACAATGTCTCAAAAATTTGGAGTTTGGGTTTAAAATAACAGGTGGAGCGTGCGGAGCAATGTGAAATCTGAATAAAATAGTACGAGGAGAGGTGAGTCGGCACTTGGAAGATTGTCTCACTTACAATTTCTAATGAAATAGGATGGCAACAGCCAGATAAGACACGACCGTCGAACTGACAATGTGAACTAAATAGCGCGCATCCACACTTTACACTTGGTTAGCGGGACAAGTGCCTAATGTTCAACATCCGAGTAATTTCCAGAAGTACATTTCCATCATGAGCGCTCATATTCGATTATATTTATGTTTAAGGATTTCAGTTTAATCTCACTGAGACATTCAGATTTGTTATTTTTGGACTTGTAGTATGGTGCATATTAAAAAACAGGTCAAAAATTCCCAAGTTGTTATGGGGTTCTAAACAATTTTAAACATCTCTAGACAGAATGGAAGACGTTTTCACTAAATGATTTTCCGTATCTAGCAGCGGTAGGTCACAAATACCTTCAGGTAGGAGCCTACGCATATCTGAGGATAAAAGAGAAAAATATTAAATGTTAGCGAAATACTGTCCAGAGTCCCAAAGAATATGTCAAGTTTTCTATAAAAGGACTCCAGGAAAGTCATTTTATCTGGTTCATCTGTCAGGGAATTTCAGAACTTGACAACTTGCGAAGAGTAAAAAGTGTACTTACAGTCCATCCTGCTATGTCGTATCTCTAACTTGTGGGTGCACCCTAAGTATTGTTCAGTTACTGAGCCTAAATAGGTGTTTAAAAAAGAGTGTTTGGAATACTATAAGTCAGGAGAAGTTTGTCTCACAGAAAACTATACTCTAGTTGGTAAAAATTCAGTGACTAAGGGTGTTCTTCTTAAGGTGTTAAAATGAGTTCCCTAACTAATTTCGTGGCCCATCGTTAGACACTTACAAATGTATTGTAACCCTTTTGGAGTGAAGGAGGAAACACTCTATATTTATACTCTGAATGGGGTGGAATCAAACTGTTGGTGATTAAGTAGAAATTCCAATCATCGAACTGACGTAAAATTTGATTCGACGTGAACAGTGCAAGACTTGGTCGAGAGGCATTTTTGTCACAGTGTGAGTAAGAATTCTGATATTTGAGTGAGAATGATGTTTGATTGTCTGCTTAGTAATAGATAGATAGATAGATCTCGACGATACATAGGTGGAACAGTCAGTTCAAATTTGTCCTTGTACTTAACCCCTATTATGTGACCTATCCGGTTGCATACGAATTACAGTTGGTAACGGACTTCTGTTGACATGAAATGCTTCGAAAGTGGTATTTAACATTTCGGAGGATCGAAAGGTTATCTTCAATAGCCGGGATCTAGAATCTTCGTCCTTCTTAGCTAACCGCACCCCTTGTTGGGTCACTATGTCCTTGAGCTTCAAAGACTGCTTAATGAATCTCCAGTCTAGAATACCATAGTCTGCATAGTGACACATTGTACAATGATATTTATTCCACGAAAGAATGTCTCGCGAGATGCCTTAGAGGTGTTCTCTATTAGATTGAGCTCAGAATATGATATATCAAGCAGTATTCTTACACGCCCTTCTGGTCTCAACAAGTGACTGACCAGTAGAACATCTGTAGAATTATGGTCTAATGCTGTAGTAACAGACAATCCTAAAATTGTAGATGCGCCATGATGTAACTACCTAATCTACAAGATCTCACGTAGAAGTCACATCACTGTCTATAATGTCTCGTCCTATAGGAACTATCACCAACATATGACGGAGAACACGTTTAGACTGGAGATAGAAAAGACATACTTAATATGTATAAAAGTTATGCTACATAAGTACGAACATAAGGCCGAATCATGCCATCCGATGAAATGAATTTCGAATGAGTGGTAACGCGTCCATCATTATTGGCCTGCTCTGAGTGTTATGTGTTGAAGGTCTATTTTCCTAGTTTTTAGGAATGTGGTTAGGATCCAATACCACTACACATACCCAAGGACAAGAGTGTTGGTGAATGTTACATGAAGGAGCCCTGGATGTTTTCGGTGCTTAAAGCATTTCCCTTGAGTGAGCCGTGCAACTGCCAGTGACACAATTTCAGGAAGTCTGAGCTTCTTATCCAACTCTGATGACTAAGAGAAAAATCAAAGCTTTCTTTTAGGTTCAGACTATTGGAGAGTCTTCTGGAATCGTAATTTTTTCTCAGATCTTCGAGTACGTTGACGACGGGGTCTTCTTTGTTTGACATATGGTTTGCTTTTCGGATTCCCGTGCTCTTTGCCGATCGGTTGAACAGTCCTAATAATTGGCTACATGGACAATTCACCAGTTTATTTTCCTATCGGATCAGGACTGTTCAGCATCTTCGATGGCGACATTTGATCCCTTTTAACTCGGTTGACAAGGTTCCAGCAGCCTTCAGAAATTTCGGAAACCACAGTTGTATTTAGGGAGCCTGTGCTATGAGACACACGTTTGTCAAGAATCTAACATCATCAATGTTATGGAAGTACCGAGGTTCGGCATATTCTAACTAGTGTCCATGCGTGTTCCGTCGATGCTGACTTTAGCGAGGACCCTCTTTTTTTGCTTCACTGCGTGCCACTGTTTGTTTATCCGTTTCAGAACTGCCTTTTTTCATGATTGCTAACAATTTTTTCGCAGACCTGTAAAGAAAATGATATTCTTGCTCAGGAAATCTCCAGCTTTCGTGTTCCATGTGCCACATACCCACCTGTGATCTGACTTAATCTGTTGTGAGCAGTTACTGTAAGATCTGTGAACGCTCCGTGAATACAAATGTTGCGTTTATCATAGTGAATACCACGTGTGACAGTAAATAGGCATCCAGGTCGCCTACACGAGTTCTTCATGAACACACTAAGATGTGAGTTCTTAGATAGATACCAGCAAACGTTAACGACCGTAAAACAAGAAACAGAACCCTTAAAACGGATCTAACAGATCACAACGGGTAGTACAAAAGGTTAAGATATACTAAAACTATCCTGGACGTAGATCAAAGACCAAATAGTGATCTTAGACAAAACCACAGTTGACTATGGATCGTTCACGAGTAGATATGATGATATATTGTATCCAACTTCACTGATACCTAAGTTTAAGCTTACGAATTAACAAAATGACAAACTTGGAGGAGAAAAAATTAGTTCTAAAGTCCCCAGTTGGAACAGGACAGGCGCTTTACGGTGGGTTCAAATAAATCTGCTGCTCTTGCAAAACGGATTCAATTAAATTTATGGCAAAACAACCTACAAATAACTTTTGAATTCTAAAGGACTAGTGAATAAACTATTTTTCCTGGACACTATCAAAGTTCTTTAGACTCCCCGTAAAACAGAGAATTGGGAGTCAACATATTCGATTTACACTAGCAAGTCATAATTTTATCGGATATCGAACACAGGAAGGGACTCATCTTCAAGAGTTACGTCAAAATTACCGAACGTGTTATGATGTGGTTGATTTTCTCCGAGATATTTACCATATTTCGTATGTCCTGATAATAATTGTAACAATAATTTCCAACGGTATATGGTGTTGTAGTGACCGGCTTGTCTCGATAATAACACGATTGGAATAATAGAAACAATCATTATTATTGTAAACAATTGTACCAGCGCTTGTTTTACTGTACTTGTTTAACTGTATCAGACTCACTTCTTGTTCCGCTATCTGCCTTGTTTGGTTTGAACTTTCTTACGCTCTGCCATTTCGCCTTAACTCGTTGGCACGTTTCGGTATTCTATCGATACCACGAGATCGCCAATAAATACACTTTATCTGGACTAATTAAAGCCTTCTGGTTCGCAAGTTATCGAAGGGACCAAGTCGTTTCTGGGCGCGTAATCGAATTGTAGTGGTGATCATAGTCCATCCTCCACTCGACGCCTACTAGAGTGTTTTTGATGACAACATGTAGTGGTGATCATAATGGCCATTTGTACAGTATAAATCAACAACTATCAACCACACAATGCGATTTCGAATACGGATAGATGAATGATAGAACAAGATTTAGGAAGCACATTTATGTATAAGTGTGCGAATAATTAGTCAGTAACTTCAAGTAACTCACCTTTTGGCCTAGCAATGAAAGTATAGTGGTATTGTTTATTAACCACAAGACCCCTGAAGCCGGATATACAAAAGCTGAGAAGATTTGATTACCTTTCAAATGCTTGGATAAGGCCAATAAAGATCAACGCGGAAACACTTGGTCGAGATGGCATGGTTCAGCCTTCCAGGTGCTGTAACTCTATGAGCCCATTAATCATGTATTAAATATGCTATGAACCTGAATGTTTTTTACTGGTTTTTAAATACCATATGTGTCGTTGTCACTATAGGATGAGTCAGTATAGGAAGTGATGTGATTCCGACATAAGGCTTTACTAAATAAGTAATCATCATTATTATTATTCACAAACACCTTATGGGTACATAAGTGCCGTGAAGAAACCGTTTCAGGTTTCTTCAAAAATGCAATAAAACACAATTTTCAATAATGTTAGCATTACATATGCCATGTTTGAGAAAGGAAGGAAAAGGAAAATAAAATATTAATAATTGAATAGCAATAATAATAGTAATAATAAATCAGGTTCTGCGTAATTGGCAAGAATTTTGAATTGATTTTGAAGGAGGAGAGGAAGAAACTAAGGAAATAGAAATAAAGGAGTCGCGGAATACGTAAATATCTTAACGCAGAACAAGAATAAACAATTACGTATGTATAGGAAAAACGAGTAATAAAAATAAAATAAAACAGAATAAATTAATAAGTAAATAACTCATTATTGCGGTAAGACATGACGTTAGAATAAGTGTTTGTGCGTGTACAGTCATAGTTTTGGGTGATGTTATGAAAGTCTCAATTAAGTGCAAAAGATAATCAATATGTATGAGGTGTATATACATAGTAAAGATAAAAGGAGTCTGATAAGTTGAATTCAGCGTAACACAAGTTATTGTCTTAATCCAAAGCTTCGTAATCTTAAGAATAATGTTTATTTAGAAGGAAAAAAAGAGAGAAAAGAAATGAACACATAATGAAAGGGTCCAACCATGATCATAATAGTGTAATGGATATAGACTTTTGAGATAACCGAATATTTTAGAAATAATAATAACAACGATAGTAGTAATAATAAACCTTTGCTGCACTCGGATAAATACGTGTAGATTTATGTAACAGTATACAGATTGAAACCGGATATTAGTATAAACATTAGTGCAATAATAATAATAATTTAGAATGATGCTATGATAGTCACAATTAATTGCAAAGGATAATTTAAATATAAATTTCTATATGTTATATATATACATATGTTGTGGAGATTATAAATAAAAAAATTTGAGAATTTATTTGTTTAATTGTAACATTGGTCTTTTATTTTTAATTGTAGACTTTGGATGTTTAGGAATAAAATATGTTTAGAAGGACAAGAAGAGATAAGAGAATATCTAACGTGTCGCAGGAAATCCCGTATATTGAATAAGGTCTGCTTTTCTAACACTAGATATAGTTGCGCAAATACCGACTGTTACGTCCAATTATGACTTTTTGCCCGTTCCAACTATTGTAGTACTGGCCGTCGATATTCGCAAATCACGAACCCAAGTAGGCTTAAGAACCAAAACTCCAAATTAAATACCAAGTATATTCTCAATTCACAAATAATCGACCAACGTCGTTCGAACAACAAGAATTATAACGATTCCAAAACAAATCTTCAATTTTGTAGGTTCCCGTAGTAAAAACTCCCAAATACCAAACCAATGACAGAAGAAACCAAAATGTCCGAAAAGAATGATATAAACAAACAAGTCCAAAGTTACAGTTTCAGTTTGGAAAGGACAGGAGGCTTGATGGTCTGTGTTAGTCCTAGCAATGATGGCCTCTCAGCTGATCCAACTTTCTTTTGAAGGAGTCGACGGATGGAGCCTCAACCACGTGCTGAGGTAATGAATTCCACTCCTTGATTATTCGAAGGGAAAGTCGGTAGTCAGCTGACAAGTAATTCGTTCTGGGCTTGTGAACGTTTTTGGAGTGTCCTCGTAGATTTTCTGTTTTGGAAGACAAGAAAAATGAGGGCATATCAGGTGCAAATTTGTCATTAAGCAATTTGTAAACTATAATCAAGTCACCTCTGATTCTTCTATATGACAGCGGGAATAGGTTTAGCTTGGTCAGTCTAGTACCATACGGGAGCTTCGCTATTCCGGGAATCAGCCTAGTTACTGTTCTCTGAACCCTTTCCAAGAGTTCAGTGTCTTTTTTTAGGCAGGGGCTAGCTGCTTGTATGCAGTACTCAAGTTTAGGACGTACGAACACTGCATACAAAGTCAAAAACGTTTTAGCGTCAAGATGCCTAAAAGCCGTGCGTATGGACCATAAAGTCCTAAAACCTTTGGCGGCTATTGCACGGCAGTGTGCAGTAGTCTTTAAGTCTTGACTGACGATGACGCCTAAGTCGTTGTGTGCCTGAACAATAGGTAACTCAGTGTTATTCATCGTGTATGTATCCGTACCCTGGTGGCCAATATGCATCACAATACACTTGGAAGTGTTTATCGGCAATTGCCAGGTTTGGGACCATTCAGATAATCTCTCCAGGTCATTTTGAAGTTCTAAGCTATCGCCCTTGCTTTGTATCGCTCTTCATATCTTGACATCGTCAGCATAGAGTAAGACCGATGACGATAGTAGACGAGGGAGATCATTTACGTACAGGAGGAATAACACTGGCCCCAAAACTGTACCCTGGGGGACTCCACTAAGCACAGTTTCCCAGCTAGACAACTTGGAGTTCACCCTTACTCTTTGTTGACGCCCAACTAGGAAGTCTTTTATCCACATCAATAGATTGCCTCCAATCCCGACATTCCTTAGCTTATATAACAGTCGGTTATGCGGAACTTTGTCGAAAGCTTTGCTGAAATCGATGTAAGCTACGTCTATAGGTAATTTTTGGTCCTTAAGAGCGCACCAGCTTTCACGAGCGACTAATAAGTTTGTGAGACAAGAGTAACCTGTTCTAAAACCATGCTGCTTTTCCGAAAGGATCCGGTTTTCATGGAGATACTTAAACAGTTCCTTCCGAATAATCTTTTCTAAGATTTTGACAACCACACTAGTTAGGCTAATTCGTCGGTAATTCCCAGGCTTATGTTTTGTACCTGTTTTGAAGACTGGACTTACTATGGCGTTCCTTCAGTCTTTTGGTAGACGACCCTGGGTTACGGATAGATTAAAACATACACTTAAAGGGTTCGCAACAAAGTTAGCTAATTTCTTTAGTAACCTAGGATTCAGTTCATCGGGTCCAGTGGATTTACCTATGTCAAGCTTAACTAGCAGACCAAAGACATCGAGTTCTTTAATGGTAACGCTGTCCAGTGCTTGTGTGGGGGATTTTCATGGAGTGGTGAGAAGGGTGTTTCTATGGTAAGTACTGAGTCAATCTGTACACCTAGTTCCTATAGCTTATTGAGTAAGCTCCGGGCATTGGCATAACAGATCCGAAGCCTATTTAGGTGGCCTCGTGCTTCACCCAGAGTGGCTTCGGCATCATCCTCTGTCGAAGCCTCACAACCCGAAAATTTACAATTTTCAGGTCTTTTTCGCCAGCGTTCAATCCGAGCTGTAGTTCTTTCTCGGCTTCCCGTCTTTTAACACGGTTCGCCAACGGTAAGTCCTTACGGAGAAAGACTCGTGAACCCTTTAATTTGTGTCAATTTTCTAAGATTAAGTCGCGTTCGTTTGAGGATTTGAAAACGACTTTGAGTAGTCTAGACTGATTTGGTTTCAGATGCGCTAGATTTCCTAGTCTATACACCTTTAGCAAGGTGACTCCGGAGATGTTTTGGGGCATAACTTGGTTGAGTAGTTGTTTTATCAACACAATGTCATGCTCAAAACGAGCTTTTGGTTCCGAGCTTTCACTCTCCCTGACTCTATGGAGAATGACTGATCTGTCGCTGTGATCAGACTTCGGCGTTTTGATTTTTTTGGTGGTGGTAGGATCTCCTTTCACGTCATTTTGTCTTTTTTTCTTACGACCCGTACCCAATCGTCGACGTTCTTTGGAGTAGTAACCACAGTCGCGTCAGGCGTACTATGGGAATCCGGAGGGTTGAGGACGACCTGGGAGGTTAGGTCATCTTTTGCGCTGTAAACCGATCGAGCCTTGCGATTTTGATCGATAGTTAAATAAAACAGGTAAGTAAAAAAGGTGAAATAAAAGAAACACATCGAAAAAAGTAAAATTGATATTCTGTAAAAAGGTTTTAATCAGCCAAATGTCTTCAGTTCTTTCGTAACATCGACCTAGACCTGAACATCACCGAATTATATAATCAGGCTTTAAAATGTGATCAGGCAAACTTGATCATAAAAGCGTGGGAATGGTAGTGCAATGATTTAGGTAGATTATTATCGACAGAAATATAGCTTTCTACTCAAAAAGCTAATAAAAGGGT